TTTTTTTTCCTGCTAATCCATGGATCAGGCCTATCTCATAATAGAAGGAAATCGAAGACAGAGTTATCAATTGCTATACTAGGATTATGAATCTGTGCATAACTCCAGACAGGCACTCAAAGACTATGACAAGGAATTGTTGAGACCACAATTAGACCTTTGGATTAAATTGTACACTCTCTCTTTTGCTCACCTTCTAAGAATTTTTCAAGAGTGCACCAAAAGCACATGTATTGAAGGAGATCTTTTATCAGTTACAGTCTTTCCAAGCCAGTGAAATATATTTCCACCAACTGGGTCCCCAGTTCCTGCCACTTTCTCTTTCCTCACAGTACTTCCTGATATTTAGTGTCCTATGGCCTTCATTTGACTGTTAGGATACATCCCTATACTAAGCTGCAGAATTCATTAGTGTTTCTGTTTTCTTCCTACTGACATCTGCTCTAGCACCTTTTAACTAGGTCTTAACACAACTTCCTTTGTTGTCTTCCATATACAAGAAAGATACTTATGATCTACTTTCAATAGAAACAATTTCTCTAGAATTACAAATGCAATAATTGGAATGGGCTTCAGAGATGGTCTATACAGCAAAAGAAATGAAGCCCAAAAAGTTGAAGCGACTTGCCCAAAGCCAGACAGCTTGTGAATAGTTCATGCTCTCCTTACATCCTCCCTTCTGGTCAATATGAGAAATTACATACTAGAGATGCATCCAGTGACCATGAGACTGACTGAAGCTAAATTATTCTCATAACCTGGAAACCATCATTCTCAGCAAACTGACACAAGAACAGAAAATCAACCGCTACATGTTCTCACTCATAAGCAGGTACTGAACAAAGAGAACACATGGACACAGGGAGGGGAACATCATACACTGAAATCCAATTTCTTAAATATTAATGTGTTCTGATTGGCAGTGAAACAAGCCTTAGCTAAAGACAGATGTCTTAATGTGGTACCCATGTCATGTCACATTGAGTTATCCAAGGACTTGAACAAAATCTTGCTGAGTATAAAATCTGAGAAACCTGTCCTCAAAGGAAAGTATCAAGCAAAAGACCATCTGTGTATTTTCCCAAAAGGCACTGGTTTGGAAGTAAGAAAACTTGAGTTTCCATCCATCTCTGTTTCTAATTAATTATGTGTCATTGGCCAATTCATTTGATTGCTTAGGCTTCAGTTTTCTCATCTATAAAAACTGTAGATACCAACTTATGTGAATGCATTGGGAAAAGTAAAAATAGCTAACATGCTAATATTTATTGAGATTTACCATGTGCCAGGCACTGTCCTGGGCATTTTATATGTATTTGCTCATTTCATAAACAAGGAAAATTAGCCCCAGATTATTCAGATTACCTAAAAAACGTCCACAGAGCTAGTAAGTCCCTGAGTACACAATCTTAGCCACTACCCCAAACTGCCTCCCATTACCCTATATTGTATCTACTGCCACTACCACTAAACCTGTTAAAAAGGCCAGGCATGGTGGCTCACACCTGTAATCCCAGTGTTTTAGGAGGCTAGGGCGGGAGGATCACTTGAGACCAGGAGTTCAAGACCAGCCAGTGTAACACAGTGAGACCCTCTCTCTACAAAAAAAAAAAAAAAAATTTAAATTAGCCAGATGCAGTGGCGCATGCCTGTAGTCCTAGCTACTTGGGAGGCTAAGGCAGGAGGATCCCTTGAGCCCAGGAGTTTGAAGTTGCAGTGAGCTATGATCATGCAGTGAGACTGATCCCAGGCTGCACTCCAGCGTGGGCAACAGAGCAAGACACTGTTTAAAAAAAAGTTGAAGAAGTATAAAAACAATTATCCGTTTGCAGATTATTTATGATATAGTTTAAGAATCAGATAACATTGAAACACAAAGAACCAAAGATCTAAGCTGAACCTTGAAAGCTTCATCTTTCCAAATTAGTAGAACTTAGAAGCACTGGTGCAAAAGAAGTGGGTGCATGGGAATACTCATGGAGCAATGAAGAAACTAACCTAACTCAAGTAGAGAGATTGTGTTGAGGAGCCATGGAGACAGGGAAAACATGGAAATCAATAACATCCTTTATTACCATATAGTTTGCTTGCATAGTGCTTGTCACAGGTGCATATTTATGTTCTTCTAATTTTTAATTTTGTGTTTGTACATAGTAGGTGTATATTTATGGAGTACATGAGATATTTTGATATAGGCATGAATTGCAAAATAATCACATCATGAAATTTTGGGTATCCATCTCCTGAAGCATTCTTTGTATTACAAACAATCCAATATACACTTTTAATTATTTTTAAATGTACAAAAATTGTTTTGACTATAGTGTGCTAGTAAATACTAGGTATTAATAATCATATCATGGAGAATGGCATAGGATATATTCTTGATTGTTAGTTAATATCAATTTCCCCCCAAAACAGTAAGCTCCTTGAAAGTAAGAACGACTTTATTCAGCATAGCAGTGTAAGTCCTAACTAAAGCAATCAGACAAGAGAAATAAAGGGCATTCAAATTTGAAGGGAAAACAATGGGGTTTTTTTTAATTTACACCACTATATCTTCAGTGCCAAGTACATTGCCAGACACATTGTAGGTGCCGAATAAATACTTGTTGAATAAATGTATTCATGTGTGAATGAATAAATGTTAAATAATAGACAAGGAATTGCCGTAGTTGACCTTGCATGTCAGATGAGGAAATATAGCCTTGACACAGTTGGAAAAAAGAGCCCACAGAGACTGTTTGACCAGGCTGGGGTGGTGGAAGTGGAACTGAAAAGGCAAACAGAAGGGCTATTTGAACACGCGGATCAATCACACAGGTGCTCTCTGTTGTGCACTCTCTATACCAGCTGTCCTCTGATAGACATTTATCTACTAGTTGCAGGCTTTGTCACGACACCAATTTCATACACAGAAACCGTAGACCAAAATAAAAAGAATTACTTCCTAGTTCTCTGGAAAGCCCAGTAGTGGTATACAAAAGCCCCACAGTCTCAAAGGTCTCCTTTTTTTTTCTTTATTCGTTTTCCCTACACAAAATGCCACTTTGTGTTTTTTTTTTCTTTTTTTTTTTTTTCAAACAGCTCTGGTTTGGAAAAACTTAATTGCCTGTTTGGGATGAGGTCCCTGAAGCTCTCAGAAGTTAATTATTTCTTTCTGGTAAAGATCAGAAACTTTGAACTCTGCTTGTGAGATAAATGGTCTGGTAGCACTTTGAAACTTCAACTTATTTAAGTTACTGAGCAGCTCGTCAACTTACTTCCTGCATTTGGAATTGAATCTGGAAGAGAATTGGACCCAGACGTCTTGAATAGGCCAAGTAGGTACAATTTATAGATTTAGTTCAGAGCCAAACATGGTCCCAGAGATAGAGGCCTGGTGACAGCTTCCAGATAAACATATAGATCGATGGAATTGAGCCTAGATCGAGAGAAGAGGAAATATGGTGCAGTTTCTATAAACCAGACTGTTCAATGAAAGGCAGGTTCTGGTCAGTTATATTTTTTAGGTGAATGAGGGTATTCAGACTTTTTTGGTTTCAACTCCAGTATAATGATTTTGAAATGCTTGAGTCTATTCTCCAGGATTAGTGAACAGGTAAAGTGACTGGCATTAGATCTTTTTGCTGATTGAGGAATGCACAGGGCTTTGTGGATATGAAGTTGTATATTTGCATTCCCAGGACTGAAAAGAG